TGCAAATTTGTTGTTCCCATCATGTGATTTTTAATCCGCCAATCAGGGATCGGCACAAATTGGAACGGAACGGAACGAAACAGAATTGAACAGGCCTAGTATGGACATTCCATGAAAAATAAATATTATGATAAATGATAGACAACAGAAGCTTGAACAATGTTTGTGTTAATATTAACCCGAATAATTTATCAATGTGGAAGTGAATATAATTATCAGACTAACATTTTGGTACAGATTCACAATACTCATTGGACCGCTGATGTGCAACAAAAGCTATTGTTATTGTAATGTTATGATTTGAAAAAAGACTTTGATTTTAAACAATGTTATTAATATATTCGAAACATAAATACATGAATCGGGTCTTAGTCCGCAAGCATATATCCAATGAAATACAATTTTTTTCTGCATCCCACGCTTTATCCATACTGTAACAATGAAAGTTTTCGAGTCGTCCAAATTATTGTAGAACTCAAATAGCGACCTCGGATTAATGCGTTTATTCAAATTTCGGCATGTTGCAAGTTTCTGGATTTAAATGTTATTACGCAGGGCTAAATCTCTAACTATAGCTCGCTTCTTTGTGTAAACTTCTCGGACAATATATAGCTTAATTCATTGTGAAGTCTCCTAAACGGGGTTTGAGAAAATTTTTTAATAACGCGTTTCTGTTTTCGCTTAGATAAGCATTGAACGTATGTTTTTGCTAAATTTTTTAACTCGCTTTCTGGTAAAGTGTTTTATAACTATACAACGAAGCATGTTTTGAATAAATACAAAAGAGTGAAATAAGCTTTCTCTGTTCAAATTATCGCATAGTAATTTGATCATCAAGTTGTTCGCAAACGTATAGACATAGTCATTATTTTCGAATTCGGTCTGCTTGTGAGATGATAACAAATGGTTTTTTTTTTGTTATGCACACATAAAGACATTATACATTTTACAGATCTAAGATATAGAATATGTGAATTTAATTATTAAATTGTATAATATTATGTAAATAAAAATATAAGCAAATTATCATAATATATAGATATGCGCAAATACGTCGTCTTCTAGCTAAACTAAATATCATTACTTTTTTAACTGATTGTTTTGGGCCGTGGCATACTTTTGATTGTGATTAGCATAAAACAATGTTTTGTTATAAAGATTACGCAAACGTGAAGTTTTGTTTCGCTATCTATGCAAATATTTTTTGTCTTCAAAACGACACAAATGTTTAACGTATTGCGAGAGGCTCCCGCTGCGGCGTACAAGAAAATACAATGCAAAAGCTTACTTAAAAAGGAAATATTGTGGCTCGCGGAGCATTCCGAAAAATGCTCCAGAAGGCTTACGGAGCATTTTTATTCATTTTTACTAATAAAAAATTGCTCCACAAGGACGCAGTAAATGCTCCAGAAGCCACACTTCGGAAATTTTATCTGGTCTTATTATTATATAAGAAGGAGTTGTTTTTCTTCTCCTTTCAACAATTAAAATAAAACGAAAATCAGAAACAGTTGAATCTGATAAAGTTAAAAAGTCAAAATTTGTTCAAAATGAAGCAAGTGAATCAAAAAAAGCTTCAAATTCAAAATCAAAAGATTTAAAAAAACGTAATCAAAATCGTTATATTATGATAACTGCACGTGCGTGTCGTTATTGTAGAGTGCAATTTAAATGTGGTCATAAACTTGAAAAAGAAGCGGGAGATTGTTCAGAATGTAACTTGAAACATAAAAAATGTAAAGATGATGCTTCGTGTACAAAGTGTTGTGAACGATACAAATGTTGTACTAGTTTGGAATGTCAACAATGTAGAGATAATGGAATTGAATGTAAAAGAACGATGCCGCGCACACAAGAAGAATACGAAGAGATAAGTGAAAAAATTTCTTATATTGTACATCAAGATGAACGAACCGAGGATGGATATTTTCATTCGCAAGTATATTGCCAAATCCGTGAACCTAATCGACTATCATTTAAACAATTACATCGAGTATTCGGCGATGATACATTTCATTTCGATATTGTTTATGGAAATTTTAATGAATGCTGTAATTATTGTAAGAAAATATATAACAGATGTAAATTACATAATAATCCGAACCATGGTAAACCATGTAAATGTGATTATTTCGATTTGTCTAAGTATTGTAGTCTATGTTCACCAGAATGTGAACAATATCGAACCCTTGTACGTTGGGATACAACAGATTTAAGTGATACATATCCATTCGAATTTGGAGTTCCACGAAAACATCGACGAGTAATGGATGAAACGCCAAAGAAACAATATGATTATCAAATTTCTAAATCATATTACGAGGATATTGAAAAGATAAAATACATTAGGGAGAATCAAATTCCTTTTGAGGATGTTTGTAAGAAACCTGAATTAATACCCGATCGTTGGTATAATACTACTACTGGGTGTAAGGAAATAACTAAATGTCGACAAAAGATTGCAGAAATTGAATCAAAACAGCACTATGTTTCTAAATTCTCATCTGAGGATTTTGATATTACAAATAAGATAAAACAGTGGGTTAAATATAATATTAATTCAAAGAAAGATCGATATCAATCATTGTTATTAATTGGTGAAACAAAAACTGGAAAAACTTCATGGGCTAAAAGTCTTGGTCGACACATTCATTGGTCGGGTATATTCGCGTTAGATGAATGGGATGATTTAGCTCAATATATTATAATTGATGATTTTAATTGGACTGATAGGAATAGTTTAAGAATATATAAAACCATAATTGCCTGTCAGCCGAAAATTATAATGACTGATAAATATAAAGGAAAATATATTTATAAAGGTGGTTCCAAACCTTGTATTATCTTATGTATCAATAACTTCAGTGGAAGATGTTTTACATGGGATGAGTTCTTGAATATATTGGGTAATGAACAATATTTAGCAAGATATAAAGGTGGTCGAGTTAATTATACACCAATGTATCAATATTTTACTTCACATGTACCACTTAGAGAATTATACAAATGTTCTGAAGATTATCCATTTATTCAAAAGAATTACAAATTCATTATTTATTATTTCAATATTAAATAAAATATGAGTAATTATAATGCTATGATAAATACAAGAATTCGTCTTTAGCTGAAGGGGTTATATTCGTATAATAATAAAAGCTTGTACAAATAATCCGTTTATTCAAAATTTGAGTTACTAAATCATAAAACAATGAAAAATATTAATAATTGACTTTATTAATACTAACATGTAACAGATTGATATTATCATCATACCTGCAGCTGAATCCAAATTTCTTGGTTTAGGCAAATCTCTAGTAGGTAAAAGCTTACTAGAGTATTTACTTTTCTTCTCAAGATGTGATAATGGTTTTACATCATTATGATAAACGTTATCCCATGTATCATCAGGATTGCCAATAGTTCTAATAAGTATGAAAATATAATCAAAAACTGTCCTAGAATCAGGACGCTTATCAGGATCAGCATCGCAACACCACTCAGCAAGTTTTTTGTATTCTTTTGGTGTTGAGTCGGGCATCGTTGGTCGCAGTCCACCCATAATGTCACATATTAAACCCTTATCGAACTCTCTATCTCTAAAAGGTTGTTCACCAGTAGCAAACAAATACATAATGATACCAAAGGAATACACATCTGATTTCTGAGTAAATTTGCATGTATGGAAGACTTCCGGTGCAATAAACGGTAAAACGCCTTGAACGGTTAAATTCGATTCACGTGAATCCACTGGTCGTGAGAGACCAAAATCACAGATATGTAAATAATCACCATCTACAACAATGTTTCCACCATGAATATCACAGTGTACTAATCCCATATTATGGATAACAGACAGCATATTTGCAAGAAGCATCAACTGAAATAATTTATCCCTCCACATCAATTTGTTAATATTTTTATCCAAATAAGATGAAAGACTACCATTGTTAGCATATTGCATAACAATCATGTACTCTTTTGTTTCTGGGTCTTGTGTGACTCCATAAATTTCAAGGAATAGACTACCACTACACTTGGTATGATTTCTGAACTATTAAATAAAAACAAATACAAAATCAGATTAAATGTCGATTTAATTAGTAATAACAATTATGCTTACCTCAGAGATAAATAATTCCGGCATTTTATCAAAATTATTAAACTGTTTGAGTACAACTGTTTCTTTCATAGACATTTTTTCTAAATGCTTTTTATACTTTGAAGTATAAACTGTTCCATAACCACCAGATCCAATCTGTTTAATTTCGCCAAAGTTTGTATACTGCATGTACTCAACGTGTGAACTTTGTATAAATCTGTCCAATATTGTATGTATGTTATGGTAGAACACTAAATAATATTTCCGAGTAGATGGTTCTTGAGTGATTCCAATTATCCAAACATTGCCGGGAGTTAATATATCTGGATATGCTTCAGTAAGCTATTTAAGTAAACAATACAATCGTTACAAATGGCAATTTGTTCTTAAATACATAGTACAATCGTTTAATAATATTATTTGCACCGTAATAATTTACCTGATAAAAATCAAGCAACTGATCGTTTTGTTCATCAACTATTCGTTTGAGTGTTACACATGTCAATTCGTCTGCATTTGGTTCTAACCATTCTGCCATATGTGTGCATCCATGGTGTAATGAGGTCATTTCTTGTACATTTATCAATAGAGAGTATTCAATCCATTGTATATAGGCATCATAATCATTTGTCATATTACTCCATGACTCCATAATGAATGAATCCAAAGACTTGTTACCAGTCGTCCAATTGAGAGGTCGAGGTGCTTTACAATTATAACAGAATCCATTTATTTTGCAGTTTAGTTCCCTTGTACATGCTAGACATAAGCCTTTCTCAAATAAGTCTTTTATTAGACAATACTTTTTTTTCTTTGTATTGTATGTAAATCCGAGGGTAAACCAAGCATTCATATCAGGATGCTGATTATATAATTAATGATATAAGAATAAGAAGTCAATAATTATTAAACTATTCAATAAATAAGTAAATAATTTACCTCAGCATAATTATAATACAAATCATGGATTGTCTCATCTGTTATCTCAAATGGAATCAATTTAACAGATAGACCATATAGGCTTATTCCAAATGTTGTATTGATACAATCAAATGGAATCCATTCCAAATAGGTAAGATTTGCCGAGTTTGTTTTTAATTGAGATTCCTTAATAAACTCATCGAGTTGCTTGTTGTTGCTAGTCCACCCGCCGGATAATTGTTTATATCCACAGATGCACCATACAGGACTACATCGAAGCATTCCACATATAGAGCAGAACCCATATCGAGAATAACAATAGTAAAACTCTCTCTTGGCAACCATGTAATAATTGTCGTCAAACTTGGTAAATCCAAATATTAGTCTGTTGCGATAAGTAAGCAGTTCCTTATATCTTCTGTATTGACTGGCTCTGACATCATTATTGCACTTGTGTGTCGGGAGTGAGTATATTCTAAAAAATTCACTTATGAATGTTGTTGTACACTCTTCGATGTTTCCAAGGCGTAGTAGCATTACATCATCTACATTTAGAACAACAAAGAAACGAACATTTTTATCCAGCGTTCGTTTGATAGCGTAGTAAACGTTGTCCATTGAAGTTGATGTTATATCAGTGATTTCAGAGCAAGGAATCCATTCAAGTCTTAATCGTTCGTCAGCACTTTCTAAGGAAGCTTGAACTAAGCTGTCAATTGTTGGATGATTAACAGTCTCTAACATTAATGACATAGTTAATAAAAAAGGTTGAAAAGGTATAACTGAAAACGTCGTCGAAAATGTAGATGATAGATTGATAAGAGAAGTTACACATAATTTGTGTCGATTATTCAAATTCACATGATCGAAAATCCAGACAAGCCACAAAATTTTTTTTCTTATATATAACACGTTTCTTGTTACATAAGAACGTTCTCAATAATATTCTATTAGACAAATCGAAGTCCTAAAAATTGAGATTATCAATATGTGAACAATACTAAGCTTAAGGACTCTTCATTATAAACAATATCAATTTAAACCGGTTTAATCTGGATTACTCGAACCCTTAAATTGATTAAACATTACGCGTATAATATGTACACCAGCATAACATCAAATAATATGTATTACATAAATTAAGATTGTTCTCTTGAACTATATGAACAAACGTTTATAAATATGAAACAATGTATGAACCGGTTTAAACTGGATCTACTCAAATCCTTAGTTGAGTAACGTAAACAATAAGATGAGATTGATAAGAATATGAAACTTATAAATATGATCACTTTACGCTTAACAATATGCAAGTTTTGAAACATGAAGTTAAAGAACCTTTTAAAACATAACAATAACAAACATGATGTTAGTATCAATTATAATCCAATTCGTGAAGAAAATGAAGTATTATATTTTTTTAATAGCTTGTTGGACCCCCACACCTCTCAATACACTCATGAACACGTCTAGGCATACTATCGATCAACTTC